TAAAGATCAAGCTCAGGAAGTTTCTGCTGAGAAGGACTGCATTAGCTGTTGGACTCCAGACAATGCATGTTATGCTTTGGCAGAAAGTTTTCTGGATTTTGCTTATGTCAAGAGACTTTTACTGAGACTGAAATTAAGGGTGGCAAACTAATTAACCTGGCAGAAGAAACTTGAGGACAATCAAATGTTGAGGTGGTGGCATGATTATTGTTGGGGGCTTTTAGCCAGATCTATGTTGAGAATCAAGAGCAGAGCGATGTAAAATGTTGTGAGTTTGGCTAGAAAGGAAGCTGCAGTAATGCTGTGCTAGAAGAGAGCCCCAAGCACCATGTTCCAGAATAGCAGAAGCCTAGAGAATTGGTTCCTTGAGATTGGGTTCAGAGTGCTTAGCAATCCAAGTACTTGACCACTACAGCCAAGAGAAAGGAAGCCTAACTACTGCTCCAGCTGGCAGCAGATATTGGCATCCTCCACATGGTGCTGGTTTTAGGCTCATACAGAATGCAGGAGTTGTGGAATCAAGAAGGCTTCCACCCAGATTTTAGAAGAAGGCCTGATAGGCCAGGCAGTGTGTCCCTGAGAGAGCAGTGTGAGAAGTTGTGAGTGTGAAGCTGAAGGTAGAGTGGAAACCCCAGAAGTCTGCCTGCCACAAACCATTTCTCCTCTGCAATATCCCTCTACCATGCCACCGTGCCTTGGAGCCAGGCAACAATGAACTGAAACCTCTACAAACTGTGAGCCAAAATCAATCTTTCCCCTTTTAACTCTGGGTGTCAGATATTTTGTCTCAGCTTTGAGAAAAAAGTAACTAAGGCACCTTGCTAGCTCATCTGATCCAGCCTGATCAATTCAATGGTTCCCCCCCTCCACAGTGACTCCAGAATGAAGCTGGACTTCACTTTTGGAGGTCAGAGAACTGCTCTGCTTGGAAAATGCTCCAAAGGAAGCATGTATCTTGTGTCCCCTTGAGAGGGGAGGTTCATCACCTTAAAGGATGCTTCGTTGGTAAATAAAACATCTCCATAGGACACATGATAGGTCTTGCACTTTCTATTTCCTTTCCCTTATCCCTGGGCTATATTTTAAAACCTGTGATAGATTTAATCCTCAAACTTTCAAAAAGATAAATGGAAAAGCTCTTAGTCCAAATTGTCTGCATTTCTGCTCTAAGGATAGGGAAATAGGGAATAACTCTCTTCACTACCACCTTCTCTTCTCCCCCACTTCATGAATGTTGCTTGGGCAGAGCAAACCAACTGATTTTTAAGGTGAGGCCATTGTAGTATGGATGATTACATTAATAGAATAGAGTGAATACAACCTTAAGTTACCACACCACTGACTGACTATGTACAGTGTTTAGAGATCCATTTCTGTTGATGACAATTTTAGGCAGAACGGACATTAAAGAGACCCAGGAACTGCCTCTCTCTTTGCACAATTTCTCTCCAGATTATAACCAGCTGGCAAGTGAGTTCTAAATTCAGAGATTTGCTAACTGAGGCCTAAGAAAAGAAAAGCCCGTAGTTAGTACGGGTCAAGGGGTCACAGGATCCTGAGGAAAAGTGCACAGGCACTAATAAAATCTGACAGTCTGGTTCTAATCCCAATTCCTGGAGCACCTCCACCTCACTGCTTGTGGCACTGTGTGGGTGAAGCCTAAGGGGTTCCCTAGGTAAAGGAACAGAACAAGCAAGGATATGTAGGGATAACATTTTGTGTCAATTTTATTTTCCCTTTTATTTTTTTTCTTGGAAACTTCTAGCTCTTTGA